CCCCCCCCCCCCTCCTCCTCCTCCTCCTCCTCCTCCCCCCCCCCTCCTCCTCCTCCTCCTCCTCCTCCTCCTCCTCCTCCTTCTTCTTCTTCTTCTGTGTCTTGTCTCTTTTATTTACTGTCTCTGTTGTCAGTGTCTCTTTTTAAAATCATTTTATGTCTTTTAATAATGATCCTTGTTCTCCATATTCATCAAGGCTGTTATTTTCCTCTTAATTCGTCCTCTCTGAGGTTTCTTTGTTCTTCTTCAAGCTATAACTCCATTACTTTATTCAGCATTATCTCAACCAGTCTCATTTTTTCTTTAAGCATATCTCTCACAGTTTGAAGCTCCAATTTAAATTCTTTGCTTATTTCTTCCACTTCTTTGATCTTTTAAGTTATTCTTTATTTTATCAAAAGTCAAGTTTTTCTATTATAGTCTTGTCAAAAGTCTCCATTTATCTCACTTTCTCTTCCTTCTGTTTCCTTATCACAATCAACTTCCAACAAACCCAAAGTACTGCATTCTTGTATATTTTACTATAATCCCCCCTTCTTTTTTATGAGCTTACGGGGATTGTATTTGTACAACTGATAGTTTCCCATACAGACATAAAAGAGAGAAATCTTAAACCTTTAGGTGGTGCTCTATATCACTTTCTTCTTATAATTCTTTTATTTAAAATCACTTTTCCAAAGTATTAATATTAAATTTTATCAGTTGAAAATAAGTCCAGCATTTTATCTAATGCCTGATTACTGTGCAATGTTATATATTGTTCCAAATTTAGTCTCTAATTGTATATAATTCTTTTATTTCCGGTTCTTTCTTTACCTTATATTTTCCTCTTATTTCTGATTCGCCGCTACCACTCTTTCAAACGAGGGCCCCTTCTTTCAGCTTTTCCAGGGTTTTCAAAAAGAGTATTCAAAGTCTTTTATCCAGTTACACGCTGCTCACCACTTCCACTCTCCAGCACAAAACTTATGTCCCCGCAGCTTCCTGTCTTCAGGGTAGCCATCTAGGGGAGTTTACCAAGACAGGGAGGGGAGATGCGGCTCCCCTCAACCCAGCTGGTAGTCTCCCCCTCTTCCCCCCACCCCTCTGAGGTGAGTCAGATGGATCTGGTCCTTTAAGGACCCCTCCAACAGGGTAAGCACGGATCAAAGCCACGCACGATCACGGTCTCTGGTCCGCTGTCGACAAGAACGCCACCAGAAGTCCACTATTGCTATATTCTATAGTCAGATTGTATTATATTGAATTTCCTTCAGACTCTTGTGTTTCTGGCCTTGCCCAGGACTACTTCAGTGTGCTAAGAATCCACAACAATGAGAAATCTGTGGACTATTACATTTTCTGTTATTTTCTGGGTATTTTCACAATTGTTGATGGTCCTAATGAGTTTGAGGCTCATTAAGATTTACTCCTCTGTGTTTAGTGTCTACAGTAGAGCTGTGTGGATGGTCATTTCAGAAATTCAGTGGTAATTTGACGGACTCATTGAGCTAAGTCTCTGAATCAAATTTGACAGGTGGTTTGAACTAGCTAATCTGATGCCACTGGGTTGAATTCAGACTTCTTCTCTTTTTGCAAAAGCATAGCAACAGATTTTTGACAATTGAATGAAACCAATAAGACAGTTGACAAGCCCACACAGATTCCACGTGTCTTTTCAGAAGACACATTCTATAAGCATGATTTTCGTGGTTATCCTTTCCCTTGGAAAAGTCAGAGCTGATTTTCCATTTCTGCTTTCAGGTTCCACAGGGGGGAAAAAACTGATTTGTAAGTAACTGTAGAACATAGAACATATTTTTTTTTGTATCATGTGACCAGAATTGTGGCCACACTAGTGCACAATATCACGCAGCTATATCCCAACTAATTAACCCTGAAGTGCCAAACTGATAATTAGAAACTATTCAATGTAGTCATTTGGTTTCTTGATTAATGCATATACCCTGATCATTTATCATAGGAAAAATTCACAGGATCATTACATTCTCCATATATGTCGCTTGCAATTAATGCTCTCTAACGACACTATCAGTGTGATGGAGCAGCTTTCAAATCATGAAAATCCCACTCAACACAAGCATTTAAAAAT